CTCTGCCAACGCCTTCACCTTCGGCTTCGAATTGCCGTACACGATGAGCTTGCCTGTCCTGTACTTCCGCATCTTCTGCCGCACTGTCTTGACGACCATCAACTCAACGTCCTTCTTCTTCGCAGACTGGCTAATCTTGATAGTCTGATACGCCATGTTCGTCCTTGTGGTTAGTTGTCTAAACATCTTGACCTGCCCTCGCTCGTAATGCATCCGTCGATACAGCTCGTCCTCTTCGGTCGGCGGCAACGTTGCTGTCAACAGCACCATCTGCGTCTCGGCTGCTGCCAGCCTGCCGAGCTGTTGCATCTGCTTGCGGAATGTGTATCGACGGTTCAACACAATGTGACACTCGTCGATCACGATACGGTCCAGCTGCCGCGTTGCTCGCAGCCGGTTCAAAAACGTCGCGAACGCTTCTCCCACTGACGACTCGGGCGTTACGAACACGATGGCTGCTGCGTCGGGCGGGCAGCGACTCTCCCACTCGGCACACGATATCCCCAGCTCTTTGCACCGCCGCATCATGTCACCACGCAGCGAAACCAACGGCACGACGACGACCGTCGTTCCGCCTTGCTCTGCCCACGCCGGCAACATAAACAACATGCTCTTGCCTGCGCCAGTCGGCATCACGGCCACCACGGGGCTCTCGCCGACAACGATCGCCTCGATGGCCTCCTTCTGCACGCCTCTGAATTTTGCTTTCTTGCCCTTCATTCGCTTGAGTTGCGCTACCGGGTCCATCTTCCTCAACCGCTCCAGCCGCTCTATCCTCGCCTCGTCGGCCTCGCTCTCGAACGGCGCCTTCTTCCGCTGCTTGACGTCTGCCACTGCGTCTACGGCGGACTGAAAACCCAAAAACCGGTGCCAATCGGTGCTCGAGCTGCGGAACAGCTGCCGCCTGTCTGCGGTGACGCCTGCCATCTCCATGATCCCGCGCGCGTATACCATGCCGGCTACGTGCGCGCTGTGGCCGGCCTGCTCGTCCTGGATGGTGGCGAGCATGTTCTCCTCATCCCACTCCTCGTTCTCCTCTCCCTCCTCTGCTCGAAACGCCGACGACGGCCGCAAAAACCTCCGGCTGATGCCGATGGCAATCTCACGGTATGCTGCGATCGTCAACTCTTGCTTCAAACCTACTCTGCTTTCACGCTTCAGTATTTCGCGAAATCGGTCGCTTGTCCACTTCCGTCCGCTGGGGTCCGCTGGCCACATGTGCGATGATATCGCCTCTTTCTCCCACACCATCGCCTCCAACCGCTGCTGGAACGGCAGTACCAACCACATGTAATACACCACCAGCTCGCCCACCTCGCGCGGCAAGTACCGGTGGATGATCTTGACATCGCCGCTCACAGCATACCCCTTGTGGTACCGCGTGACGAACGCAACCATGCCGTCTTCGATGAAAATGTTTCGGTGGCCCCCCTTGATGGTGTTGCTGTGTCGAACGCTGCCCAACTCTGGCCATCTCGCGGGCTGTCCCTCTACCATGTGCGCTAATGCGGCCAACTTCTCTCGAAACGCAATCACTCGATCCATGTACTGCTCCACCGCTTTCTAGTTGATGCCTGAACGGGTTCCTGGCTTGATGAACCTTTCCCTAACGCTGGCGTCCTGGCCTACGCGCTCAAACAGCCACTTCTCCCCATCTACAGGCATGCGCGTGCGGTGGTCCTTCAAAAAGTTCCACCCTAGCCGCTCATCAGTCGGGTTGTCGCGCAGCTGCTCCCATGGAATCTGGGGCACTTGACCTGCTGTCTGCTCGCCGCAAAACAGCAGCTCCTCCACCAGTATTCGCTTGGCCTCAGCCTGCATACCGTGCACCATGCCGCGGAACTGGGCCATAGTGAAGTGCAAGTTCTTGTACAGCAGCTCATCCTTCCCCATCCACTCGACGTGGCCGCGCGACGTGGTGTTGTAGTGCACCTTCAGCCCGTACGTGCGCAAGTCGAGCATCCATTGCATCGGGCTGTGGCTCCCTCGCACCATGAATCTGTCCATCATCTGCTGCACGAACTCCAAGCAGCCTTTTGGTTGACGCTGACTGGGGGAACTGCTGCCGCTATCGCTCCCCCCGTACGCGCTGTTGTCGTCGAACGCCTGCTCTTCAAACGGCTCGGACAGCTCCAGTGCGTGCTGCACGACCATGAAACGGCTGATTTTGATCACGGACGACAAGATTGGCGGGTACAGCTCAGGGCCCTTCCAGCCGTCCTCTTTGACGCCGAGCACAGCCAACGCGCACACCAACGCGCAGTCGTACTCCTTGCGGCGGATGGTCTGTTGGAGCAGCGCGATGCAAAAGTCCAAGCACGCTTTTTCGATCAGTCTCAGCTTCGCGTGCTCAGGCTCATTTTCGCATTTGGACGTGTTCTGCTCGTCGTCAAGCTCATTGATCATCATCTCGTCCTCCTCTTCCTCCCTGTCCTCGTCCTGGTCCCCGTCCGCTATCTCCATATCTGCCCCGCCTACGTCTCTCTCTGCCTGCTCCATCAATGCCTCCCACGCCTCGCGCTGCTGCTGTGTGAAGCGGTACTTGGGGCTGTTCCAACGGTGCTCCCTCTGCGTCCGTGCGAAAAACATCAGTATCTGCTTCCACGGGCGTGACCGCTCTTTGATCGACTTGTCGTCCATGTACGCCTGCAGCGGCGTGTACCTAGTCTGGTGCTTCTCCGTACGAATGGCCTCCATGCGCACGAATATGCCTGTCCGCTTGATGACCGACGTCTGGCTCACGCGGGCCAGTCCATCCATCGCGCTCCAAATCGCAGCCTCGACAGGCTCCTCATCTTTCTCTGGGTCTATGTTGGGCTCCTCGATGCTCGCCAGCAATTCAGAACGATCCAGTTTGTTCAAGTACAGCAGCCACCCAGTCCGCTCCAGCCATGGAGCCGCCTCGTCCTTCTCCCCGTCTTTGATCGTTGTCTTCGCTCGGTCCTCGACGTTGGCCCACGTCTTGGCCATCTCCTCGCCCACGCGCGCCCACGCCGCCTCGCCCTCAACAGGGACGGGTTGCAGACCGCTGTCTGGGTTGTGACACACCTCAAAGTATTGCGATCTGTGCCGACTGCCGAACAGTCGTTGGCAGTATACACGCTTGCAGCCATCTTTGAGCTGGGCCTGTAACGTCTTTGCCTGGGTCCGGCTGGGGCGTCCGCATTTCTTTCCAGCTGACCACCCATGTGTCGTACGCCAATGTTCTTTCAGCGTCTTTGGGCTGCGGAATACTAGTTGGCATGTCTCTGGTTTGAGTTGACACAGTAGCCCGTCGTCGAATACGGGCAGCTGGGGGATCGCCTGCACGCCGTTGCTGGGTATCTCCAACTCCGTGGGGTACTGTAGCAAGCCTGCCCACTGACGTACGGCTTCTCCAACCGCTTTGACGCTTTTGAGTGACTTCTTGTGCTGTTTGTGCAAGTGGCTCTCAATCTGATCTGGCCATACTGCGTATCAGCACGCTCTGCACACCGCGACCTGGTACTCAGTCAAGTGCTCAAAATACAGATTCTTAACTTCTTCTGCCGACATGTTAGTGGCTTAGTTCTTGCTTAATCTAACGCTGCAGTTGCTGTTCTTATTGCTAGGTTATGTTAAGTTTCACACCCTAGCCTCTGCGTCAGCTCATGATGTACGGACCAATCTCCGTTCGGGCCGTTACCCTGGTCCAGGGGCTTAGCACAACACAACTGCTTCTTCTTTCCCCTCCTCTTCGACGTCAACAAACAAACATGTCGCCATCTAATCTGCCGTGGATCTCCGCGCTGGAAGATGCCGCCGAGCAATTCGATGGCGGGCCTCGGAGCTTCCCCTTGGCCAGCGAGTCTAGCTTTGCCCACAGGCTCGCATACGACCCGCCGAACCTGGACTACCAAAAGCTGTTCTGGAGCAGGGCGACCGTCTCAAACTCGCAGCGTAATGCTCTACTCCGCCCGCACAGCGCAGGCTGGCTGGTTCCGGACGAGACGAGTGTCTGCAAGCCTGTCTTTGTCGCCCACTCTGTGCTGTCGGCGATATGGCTGTTGAGGGAGACGCTCGCCGAAAGCGCGTTGCCTGCTGATACGTGGGCGCGGCTGGTCTCTGCAGCGCAGGACCTTGCCGACAGCGCGAGCGACAGCTTTCAAACGGAACCCCCTTCAGCGCAGCGGCCCCGCGACTCCCCACCGCGGTCGACAAAGCGCGCTGCTGCGTCGAGTTCGGCGCTGCTGTCGAAGCGTCTCCGGCTAGCCACCGAGCCTCTCAGCCCAACGACGCCGCAGCTGTCAAGGTCAAACGAGTCTGACGGGTTGGAGGAGCCTGAGCCTGAGGAGCCTGTCCGTGAACAGATCAGCCAGGAGGAACCCGCCCAGATCACGACCATCACCAACAAAAATCGCCGTGCTGAGCGAGAGCGCGCCAAGAAGCTGGAGCTCATGCGAGCGCAGAAGAAGCAGGACCTTGGATTGGTACCGCCGCCCGAGTCGGCATCTCGTAGGGAACACGGTGCCTATGCCTCCATCTCGCGCCAGGACGAGCCGTTCATTTCATGGATTCTCAAGCAGCCGGTGGACGACGACGACAACCTGTACAGCAGCGCCACAGCGCCTTACCTGACAGCTTCTGGCATGCTCGACAAGGCCCGCTCCATTGGCAATGCTGCTTCCCAGGTCTCGGCCGCTGCCTTCCTGCGAAGCTGGCGTATGCAAGGATCGCCTTTTGCGCAGGAGCCTGGGGAAACCCGCCCGCCCGCTTCCTCCCGCAGCCGCTGGCAGCTGTCGCAGAAGAGCAGCGCCTCGACGGTGCTCCAGAGCGCGCTCGCCTCCGCCTGGAGCCTGTGCGATCGCTACGAGCAGGAGCTGGACATCATCCACATCAAGTACCGCTGGGCCATGGCTTTCCTCGGCAAGGCCTACACCGAGAAGATCGACCAGATCCGGGCGCAGGACGCGGCGAGGCTGAACAACAAGGGCAACAACCGATACGGCAAGGGCAAGGTCAGCTCCGAGGCCATGGACGCCCTGCTGCTGTCTGTCACCGCCGCTTCAGGGCCTGAGCAGCGACAGCGGTTCAAGAGGCGGCTGCACCAGGCGCTCCGCTGGTACGAAGCAGCCAAGCAGCTGGGCTGGGGCATGCTCTGCCTGATGCCGCACGACATCATCACCAACTCGTGGGTTGAAAACGATCTTCGCATTCGCTTCTGGCACATCTGGCTTGAGTTGGTTGTGAAGGTAAATCCAGTCGCTCACAAGGCTAGCGGAGCATTAGACAACTGGCTTAGCTTGGAGGGCATCTCTGGTGGCTCTATTAGTGGGAAGGCAACGCTGTCTATTGAGGCAAACTCGCTGGCACCTGTGACGCAAGTGGAGGAGATTAAAGACAGCGAGGTGGAGGACAGCGAAGGCGGCAGGGACGAGGATGACGTTGAGCCTGCGCCCGCCCGGAAGACAGCGAAAAGCCCTGCGCCCATCCGCCCGATGCGCCAACTTACTTTGCTTGAGCTGTGTAAGCCTTTTCAAGGCAAATAGCGTACTATAATTTTTTATTCTGTGCTGTGTAGTGAGTGTGTTTACTTCTTGTGTTGGTGTTTGCAGAGTTGTTCTGTTGTAGTGATGCAGCGTGGCCCTAGTCCTCCGCGCACTAGCCTAACCCTAACTAACCCTAACTACAAGCACTAACCCCAACACCACTAACCAAGTGGACAATAATGCTGGGGGTTGCATAGATAACAAAGTTAAGTGCTGTGAGAGCGTTGTCCACGTTTCAGCTTAGACAGACTTGAAAATGGAATTCTAGTGTACAACTGAATAGTATTCCAGCGTACGTTGTGACTGAAAATACGCTAGTGTCCTGTAGCCGTTGTCACTAACAAAACCAAAGCTGTAACTCCAGTGAAGGTACACTGCAACTACCCATTTGGGATAGGGCTCTTGCCAGACACGATGGCGTCGACGGCCTCTTTCTGCACCCCTCAAAACTCAGCCACCTTGCCTATTATCTACTGCAACCGCGCGGTTGTGTCTATCTTCCTTAATTAGCCCTATTAATTAATCCTTGCGTTGTCTGCTTTGCTCTTAAACAGCGCCCTCTTTTGCTTTTTACACTCTCTACTATCCTGCACGTCTGCTTAAAACCCTAAAAACTAATGCTAATCTGTGCTTGACATGCGGAACTGTTGTCTTCTATTGGCGACAGCCCCTGCCTGCTCTATGATGCCTCGCGCGTATATCATCCCTGCAACATGCGCTGTGTGTCCGGCTTGCTCGTCCGCAGCTAACGCTGCCATGTTCTCCTCATTCCATTCCTCGTTGTCGTCCCCCTCCTCTGTCCTGAACGCCGTGGATCCGTGCAAAAAACGCCGGCTGATGCCAATGGCAATCTCACGGTATGCGGCAATCGTCAACGCCTGCCCCAGCCCTATCCTGCTCTCGCGCTTCAACGCTTTGCGAAACCGGTCGCTTGTCCACTTCCGTCCGCTGGGATCAGCTGGCCACATGTGCGATAATATCACCTCCTTCTCCCACACCATTGCTTCTAACTGCTGCTGGAACAGCAACACTAACCACATGTAATACACCACCAGCTCGCCCGCCTCGCGCGGCAAATACTGGTGGATAATCTTAATGTTGCTGCTAATGTTGTACCCTTTGTAGTACTGCGTTGCTGTGTACACTATGCTGTCTTTAATGCCTATGTTGCGAAGTCCCCCCTTTGCGGTGTTGCTGTGTTAAATACTAGCTAATTCTAGCTATCTTGCTAGCTGTCCTTCTATAATATGCACTAACACTGCTATCTTCTTGCAGAACTCAACAACGTGATCTATGTACTGCTCTACCTCCTGTCTGTTAATGCCTAAGCAGGTTCCCTGTTTCGTGAATCTGTCCTAGATACTGGCGTTCTGTCCTACTTGCTAGAACAACTACCCCTCTCTATTAATAGGCATGCAGGTGCGCTAGTCCTTTAAAAAATTCTACCTAGGCTGCTTATTAGTTAGGTTATCGCGCAAACAGTCCTATAGCATGCTAGGGATAGGTTTAGCAACCTTGCTATTGCTAAACAATAACTTATCTATTAATACTTACTAACTCTCTATTACTAACCTATGCACTATGCTATAGAACTGTGCTATGCTGAACTGCAATCCCTTGTACAACAACTTGTCCTAGCCAACACACTTAATGTGGCTGCATGACGTGGTGTTGTAATAGATCTTTAAACTATACGTCCACAAATCTAACATCTACTGCATCAGGCTGTGGCTGCCGCGCACTATAAACTAGTCTATCATCTCCTGCACGAACTGTAAACATCCTTTGCGCTAGTGCTGGGGTAGGTTGCTGCTGTTGTTGTGCTTGTACGCGCTGTTGCTGTTGAACTTGTCCTTGTTAAACAGGCCTGACAGCTCTAACGCCTGCTGCACAACTATAAACTGCACTACCTTAATAACAGCTAATAAAACAGGCGGATACTGCTTAGCGCCCTTCTAACTATCCTCCTTGACGCCTAACACAGCTAACGCGCACACTAACGCGCTGTTGTACTCCCTGCGGGTGATCTTCTAGCTTATTAACGCGAAGCAAAACTCTAAACACACCCGCTAGATGCGCGACAACCTCTCTGGCTTGCTGATGGCGTTAGTGGTGGGCTTGGCTTTGTCTGTCTCTATCTTGTTAATAGCTTTGTTAACGTCTGCTATAGTCTCGTCTTTGTTATCTTGGTCTTCTACCTCTTCCTCTTCTTCTTCTTCTTCTTCTTCTCCTTCAACGCTTCTCTCCGCCGCCTTGACCAACGCCTCCCATGCCTCTTGCTGCTGGCTGGTGAAACGATACGCTGGACTCTTCCACACGTGCTCTTGTTGCGTTTGTGTAAAAAATATCAATATCTGCTGCCACAGCCGCATGTGGTCGCTAATCAACTTCTCGTCTATGTACAGCTGCAACAGCTAGAATCGCGTCTAGTGCTTCTCTGTCTAGATTGCCTCCAGCCGCACAAACACACTAATCTGGTGGATGACGGACGCTTGACTGAACCGCGCCAATTCCTCCATCGCCGCCCACATCGCCGCCTCCACGGGCTCGGCCTGCTGCTCCTGCCTGGGGTCGGGCTCTGCCATGGGTTCCGCGATGCACGCCATCAGCTCGGGTCGCTCCATGCCCACCAAATACGGCAACCACTGCGTCCGCTCCAACCACAGGTTCACCTCGTCTCTCTCACCCTCCTGGATGGTGTTTTGCGTCCGCGTCTCGACGTTGGCCCACGCCTTGGCCATCTGCTCGCCCACCTGCGCCCACGCTGCGTCGCCGTCAATGGGCACCGCCTCTGGGCTGTCGTTGCCGGGCTGGTGGACCTTGAAGTACTGTGAGCCCTAGCCCTGGACCAACAGCTGCTGGCAATGCACTGTCTCGCAATACTTGCAGATACGCTCTTGTATCTTCTCCTGCTGCTCCTGCTCTGGGCGTCCACCTTTCCCTGCTAGCGACTACTTGTAGGCAACTTACTAATGCTTCTTCATCACGCTTACGCTCTAGAATATCTAGTGGCAATAGTTAGGCACTAATTAACACATTAATCTATCCTTGTACACAGGCAACTGCTAGATAGGCTTAATAACCTAGCTCAGCACTTCTAACTCACTAGCATACTAGATTAAACTAGCCCAGTTGCTAACATCTTCTGCTATTTCTTTAGCTTGCTTTTGCTTAGCAGGGTGGGCGCGCTGCACATGGTTCTTGATCTAGCTGGGCAAAACGCCATGTCTGCACTCTTTACACACTGCCAACGTGTACTCCACTAAATGCTTAAAATACTCGCCTGTGATGCTACTCTCTGTCATAGTAGCTGTTTAATAATTAATTATAGGCTTTAAATAACTATCTAGACACTGCTGCATTTAACTACAGACTGCATGCTATCTATAGCGCTGTTAACGCGTCTTTCTACCTGTATATTTAACGCAGCTACGCGTGTAGGTGATGTTAGTAATTGCTGGTTGTGATCTTTGAACGCCTCTAAACCTAGTTGCGTGGGCTGTTGCAGCCTTATAAACCTTACCCTAACCTTAAACACAATACCCTAACAATATTAACTACACAAGCTATAGGTCTAAAAATTACTATTAATGTGTAATGTAACCTGCTAATTAACATACTTAAGTTTTAGAAAGATTAGCCTACAGGAACCTATTAAAACTAGCTCTTAAGTATAACGCAACTAGGCCTATATGCTTAAAAATACGCTAGCGCTGGGATATCTTGTCCCTAACTAAAACAAACCCCTAACGCAACTCAGGGCTGAGTTGACTTGCCGCCATGGGATAGCGTTATCCGATGCTCTCTTCCCTAGCACGGTCTCCCTACCCTTGTGTGGGGGGAAGCTGAGGAAGGCGTGCCATGCGTGGCTCAGCGTACGGAAAACGTCGGTAGAGCGAATGCTCAGCCCTGGCACCAGGTCTGCCTGCACGGCGTACGCCACGTTGCCAACAGCAGTAGAGCGGCCATTCTGCAGCTCCAGCGGATCCTCTCCATCCTCATCTCTGCTGTGGTCCATCATGTCCGGGTTGTCGTACGCACCGCCCCCGCTGCTGCTGCCCAGCTGCTTATTGTACCCAGCGGCAAAGCGTTCCCCCACCACCTCGCGGCCGATGCCCACTGCCGTATGGCGGTACTCCTGCGTGGTCAGCCGCGTGCCCAGCCTGGCTGCTGTTTCCAGCGTCATCGTACGGGTCAGTCGATCGGTCTCCCACGGCCCGCTGCTGCCTGCCCAGACGTAGTCCTGGGAGGAGGCTGGGCCCAGCTTGTCCA